ATTGTGATGCTGCTCATTGGTCCAGTTGTGAGGATTTTTGTTTTCTTTATATTGAGAAACTATTACCCTCGGCCATTCCCAAATTTTCCCATTAGATGATGGTTACTTTCAGGTGGTAAGATTTCAGGGGAGCCCTGGTGGTGCAGTGGTTAAGTGCCAGGCTGCTAACCAAAATGTCGGAGGTTTGACAATGCTCCATGGAAGATACAGTGGTTTGTTTCCATAAAGATTGACAGCCTTGGAGACCCTGTGGGCAGTTCCACTCTGTCCTCTAGGGGCGCTGTGAGTCAGAATGTACTCCACAGCAGTGAGTTTGGTTTGGGCTTTGCTTCCGAGAAGATTGACAGCCTTGGAAACTCTATGGCGTAGTTCTACTCTGTCCTCTAGGGGCGCTGTGTGTCAGAATGGCAATTGATTTGGTTTATTTTTATTTTTTTAACTTTCAAGCGATTTTTCCTTTTTTGTTCATCCTTTCATCAGTTCCGATTCTTCATAATTAGCATGCATTGTTTATGCGCACATAAAGTTAACTGAAAGGTTAGAGGCTGGAGTCCGCCCAGTGGGGCCTCAGGAGAAATGCTTGGTGATTTCCTGAGAAGTCGGCCTTGGAAACCCTGTGGAGCCCAGTCTGCTCTTCAGACACCTGTCATGGCACCGTGAGCTGGAGTCAAGTTGATGGTAGCTGGTTTGGCTTTTTATTATTTATGTGATCATGAAAAATAAAACTTCTTAAATGCACAAAAAGAAGACACCACTGGAGGGCTGCGCTATGGTCTAACACGAAAAGACTGTCAGGGTTGAAATGATCCCCCAAAATATCTGTTGTCAATCTTATCCCCTACCCTGTGCATGTAATCCCAGGGGAACAGGAATTGCTTATTAATGAGACCATATCGGTGTAGGATGTGTCTTAAACTAATCGTTTTTTTTTTTTTTTTTTTTTAAATATTTGATTTTTGTCGTCATTGAGAATACACAGCAAAACAGACAGCAATTCAACAGCTTCTACACCCACATTTCAGTGACACTGAGGACATCCTTCAAGTTGTGGAACCACTTTACCCTCTTTTTCTGAGCTGTTCCTCCCAGATTAACAGAAACTCACTGCCCCCAAAGCTTCCTATCTGAAGGTCCTAAGTTGCTGTAGTCAGTTTGATCCCATATAAAACCAAAATCAAACTCACTGCCGTCAAGTCAGTTCCTACTCATAGCGACCCCTCCTTGGATTTCCGAGGTGGTATCTCTATGGAAGTACATTGCCCAGTCTTCCTTCTGAGAAGTGGCTGGTGGTTCAAGTGCCTTAGGCACTGTGCCACCAGAGCTCCTTTGATTTCATATATATATATAAAACTCACTGATGTTGAGTCAGATCCAACTCATAACGACCCCTCTGTGGGTTTCCGAGGCAGTATCTCTACGGAAGTAGATTGCCTAATCTTCCTTCTGCCGGGTGGCTGGTGGGTTTCAACCACCAGCCTTCTGATTAGCAGTCAAGTGCTTTAGGCACTACGCCACCAGAGCTCCTTGATCCCATACGGATAGATCTGAAAAGAGCACGATGCTCCAGGCAGACTTTTTTTTTTTTTTTTTACTCAACTACAGTTTGTTTTTAAGGAGACTTCAGGGGATATTTTCTGTTTAAAATTTAAAAAGGATCTCAGGACAATAGTTTCAGGAGTTCTTGCAGCCTCTGTAGCTCCAGAAAGTGGATTCCGTGAGATTGTACAATTCTGTTCTACATTTCCCCCCTTTTGATCAGAATTCTTTTACAGAGTCTTTGATCAAACTTTAAACCAATCGCTTTTGAGATATAAAAGAGCAGATCAGGCACAGAGGGCAGCCAGCACAAATGGGGGAGGAGAGATGCCAAGTGGAGATCACAAGGAATCGAGGTCAAGAAGCTGAAAGAGATGAAGATCTTCCCGCAGAGCTGATAGAGAGAGAGCCTTGCCTCAGAGCCAGTGCCCTGAATTCAGACTTCTAGGCTCCTAAACTGAGAAAATACATTTCTGTTCTTTGAAAAACCCTCCCTTGTGGGATTTTGTTACAGCAGCACGAAGAAACAGATAATGGCCAATCAAGCAAGCCCTTCTTCTCTTCTGGGTGGGGGATGCATGTCGGGTCTGATGGGGCCCATATCTGACAGCCCCAGTGTAGAACAGAGCACATCAAAAGGACAAAGGAAAGGAAAAAACATGGCTAAAGTCACCCATTGGGTAAGGGCAGGACCAGGATTCAAGACAGGTAAGCCTGCAGTGGCCTGGCAAGGGGGCTCTGCCAATTCCTCTGATCCACTTCTTCCCCTGGGCAGGGTGAGGCGGAGAATGCATCTGGGGGCCGAGGGGAGGGGAGCAGGAAGGAGGATGCGGGAGTAGCAGAGTCTCAATGCTGCCCCCTCCCCCCTCCTCAGGAAACCCCACCCAGGACCGGACACTCCAGGGTCAGTCATGCTGAGACAGAGGCCCGACATCTTGCCCT